CCAAAAAATTCTTCAAGATTTTTCAATACACAATGTTTTTAGAGGTTGAAGATCACCAATCCATTCAAGCTCTTGCAAGAATGCATCGTTTTCTAAATTGTAATTTAAAATCATTGAATGACATAAAGTCGGTGTTTATTATCATCATTGATCGGTGATCTATCTGTGTTGGCATATCATCTTATGATGATATCATGTCTACCTGTCTATGCATGTAATTACTAATTATAACCATTCAGACGTAATAAAATAAATAAAAATAGAAAATCAATAAGCATACGTTTCTTAAAAACTTTATTTGTTACAACTTACAACCAAGTGAGGGCCCATTTGACTATCGCGTATATAATATTATAGTTTCATAATTTATTTATTTGAAGAAAAAAAATATAGTAGGAAGACTTATCACCAACTTTTTATTTTATTTTAATATGTAACTACTATTTGTTAAATGAAAATGTATAAACTTAACAAATTTCCAATAGATAAAAGAGACAAAAAAAATATATCATAATAAATAAGAATGATTTTGCCACATGTCCTCTTCTTACATTTGTCATTTTTTAGATTTTTTTTGAATTATTTAACATCCACTTGTCATTTTTATAGTTTTTTTTTCTTTTTTTATTCAAATTCCACTTATTAAATGTTACCTCATACTAATTAATTTTATTAATATATTAACTAATGTACATAATAACTTTCTATTTGTGAATTCATCTTTCTATTAATATATTAATTAATGTATATGTATATTAATGTAGATAGTACATTCCATTTGTGAATTCATATTAATTAATTTTATTACTATAGATTAATTAAACCAAATTACATAAATGGTCCATGTGGTGTACCAAAGGTTAAAAACTCAGTCGTTACTTATTTTTTTTATGAACATGGTCCTTGTGGTTATCAAAACTTGCGTGAATGGTCTTTTTTTCTCATACCGTTATTTTTTGTCCTTTTTATAAACTCACGTAATAAATGAGTCTCACACCTAGTCATCTCTAATAAATGAAAAGTTTTTTTTTGTCACTTGTCACACTCTCATTCAATTTGCCAAATGTTATTTTTTTTTTGTTATTTTGAATTAACTCTTTTTTCATATGTCATTTTATGAGTTTTTCTATTTTATTAAATTTACATAATATTTTAATGTAATAATTGCAATAAATGTAGTAATAAATGGATATCAATTTCATTAATTAACCTACCTTTTAATTTCAAAGTCCCAAAGTTAAAGTTTATTAATTTCTTTTATTTATTTAAATAATTTGTTTAAATTTAAAAGATAAAAAACATTTCCATTATAATAATTCATTATTTTTTTTATTTTCTTATAAATTCAAAGTTGTCAAATATTTTGACATTTATATTTAATTTAAAAAAAAAAATTAACCCATGTAATAAATGGGTCACACAACTAGTAGAAGAAAATCTTAAACTTTTGTGAGACTTGAATATCAGTTGTTAAACCATAAAAATAACCAAAATAAAAACCAATTTTATGTATTTTTCCCACAATAATTATGTTTCAATATTTTTTTTTTCCGTAAATGAAATTCTCATTAACAATCTCCCAAAAAAAATAATCACGTGCGGAAGTTAACCTTGACCTTTTTCATTGCCGAAAACAAGTTTACATTATGAAATATTGATGTAAGTATGTAACATAGTATATTTGTAACAACGATGTATGTATAAATTACAAGATAACCATGATACAACTGTAATTATTTAGTTACTAGTTTATAACCTGTGGGAACCACGGTTATAAAACTAATTAAATTTTCATAGTAAAAAATCAAAATTATTAATTAATTATTTTAAATAAATTGTTAATTAAGAGATAATTTTTTAGTTATATAAAATTATAATCATTGATTTAAATAAATACATGACCTTATAATCTGTATTAATGTTATTTTAATTTTTATTATAATATTATTAATTTAATGTAATTATAGTGGAAAAATTTGAAATTTAAAATGGAGAATCAATAGGTTGACAAGTGACATTACATTAATTAGGTGACCTAATAGAGTGACACATGACAAAAGGAGAATAAACTTATTCTTTTATTAGAATAGAGATACCAGCTATACAATCATAAAACTTATTTAAAAGAACCAAAAAAGAAAAAAAGAAAAAAAAAGAGAAAAAGAAAATGATAAACGTATTTGTGAATAAAGTGTCTAGTTTGCAATTCATGTATCAAATGTAACCATTTGTGTCATAAGAATGCCTACTAGAAAACGTTTTAATTCTTTCAAGAGCTTCTTCAAGCAAAGATGGTTCTGCAGCAAAAGTTATCCTCACCCAATTCTTTAGTCCCACTGTTAGTCCTACAAAACACCAAAAAAAAGAATCAATTAATATAATTATATTCTTTTAATTATTAGAGTTTCTAACTTTTCAATATTTATATATTTCTACATGTTACCAAATTTTTCATAAGTTTTCTTATTTACATTTTATAAATTAAAGAAAAACACGTTCCACGAGTTTTGAGTTTTTTAACAAATCAACTTTACATTAAATTAAACAAAAACACAATTTTCATTTGAAGTCGATAAACTAAAAAGTGGAAAGATATTTAAAAAAAACATAAAAAACTCATATGTCAACTTCACAAGCTTCTACAAAAAGCTATTGGGCTAAAAAAAGATCTCAATAGGATATTTGACTTTGAGTAGCACCTATTATGTTACTTTTTAATTTCTTGCATTTAATTTTAGTTAAAATATATATATATTTTTTTGTTTAATAATCACCTGGAAGAAGGATGACAGATTCTTCTTTAGCTAACTTGAAACAAAAGTCAATGTCATCATGGATATCTTTTAGTAATGAAACATTCAGCTTCACCATCATTGCCATGGAGCCTTGAGGTTTTGTTGGACATGTTAAACAAGGAATATCTTTTATTTTCTTCATACAAACATCCGATGTGTGTTTCAATATGTCAAGAGTTCTCATGAAGAACGTGTCACTTGTTTCCTTAATAATTCGAGGCACAGCTGCCTGAAACACATAATTACAACATTATACTTTAAGTTTTTATTTTTTCTTACGGTTAAAGTTAAAATTGGTAGTTGGTTGACCAATTTTAACTTTAACCCTTTTTCCTATTACAACATTATACACCGAAAAATCTACCTGATAATAACTAGGTAGATTTTTCAAAGTATAATGTTGTAAATGTAATAGGAAAAAGAAAAAAAAAACCAGATGTTGTAATAAACAAATAAATGAAAGTACTGTGGTACCCGACCTGTATAAAGGTTGCGGGACCACCACAAATGTCAAAGTACTTCTTGAGGCGCTCAACAGTCTGAAAAAACCAAAAAAAAAAAAAGAGTTAAAATTAGTAATCAAATTCACAAATTTAAAGTATGTTGCTAACTTTTAATGTACCTTGGCGTTTTTGAACATGGAATTAGGATCGGTGGTGACAAACCACCCGAGGCGCCAGCCTGGCACAATCCATCTTTTTGATAAAGATCCAAGTGTAAGAACAGGCACCATGGATCCAAACACACCCATTGGCACAAAAGGGTTTTGTCCGAAAGCTAAATGTCCATAAACTTCATCCGCTATAACAACAATCTTGTGCTTCTTTGCAGTTTCGGCAATCTACTTTCATTTAATCCAAATTAGTATCTCAAATCATTAACCAAAAAAACTAACGGCCCGTTTGATAGTTGTTGTCTGGGAAAGTGCTGTACTGACTGGGAAAGAAACCATGTTTGATTTTATATCTGACTGACGGTACTGAATGATGAAAAATGATCATTTAGCCAGAAAGATATGGTTTTGTGGCTTTCTAGGAAAGACATATCTTATAGGGAAAAACCATTTTTTTGTGCAAATCAAACAGTCTTTCCGGCCCATTCAGTTAGAAAGATTTATTTGGACCTGGAAAGATGTCTATCAAACGGACCTGAATTATGAATCATGTATAGTGTATACCTTTTTTAAATGTTGATAACTATAGACATTTCCACATGGATTCCCGGGGTTTATGATGACAATTGCAACGGTGTTATGATCAGCTAATGCATCAATGGCATCAAGGTCAACTTCCCAATTGTTTTCGGGAAGAAGGTCAAAATGGCGGATTTCAACGTTTCTAAAAGCTGCACAAAGTTCATAGATTGGAAATCCTGGTTTTGGAACTAATATGTTTGCATTTGGTCTGGCTAAAATTGATATAGCAACTTCTATGGCTTGTGTGCATCCTGCTGTTATGAATACATCATCTGGGGATAACTTGTATGGGAGATTGATCGATAGATATTCACTGATTGCCCTGTTTTTGATCATATGACATTAGAGTTAATAAGGTTTGATGCATAAAGAAAAGGTTAAACTTTTATATACGTGTCTCTAGCATTTCTACAAACAGGTTGTGTGCGTGACTGGAGTTCTCTTGAGATGGGACTTATCATGGTGATTTTATACAATTCAGTAACTATTCTCGAAATTTGAAGTGCTACGTACTTGATCAAACATAAAAGAAATCACTTTACGAGAGAAATCAAGAGAGCAGAACACATAGAGTCTAATTGCAGAAACGAATGGAAGAACGAACATACTTTCTTGCTTGAGGAAGGCCGACAGTAGGGGAATATCCATTGAATTTCTGCGAGGTGAGAGCATCAACGACAGCATCTTCTGCAACAGAAGTGGTAGTGAAGCAAGAAAAAGCAGTCGGGTCACCCATCCCAAGAGAAATCACTTTCTTCTTATTTTCATAATCAAGATTCGCCATTAACAGTCCAAGAATCCCCTTAATTGTCACATTTGTAGGGGTCTCCATCTTCGCAACCCCATTCTCCATTTCTTTAGATAAAAAGAAAGATAACAGAGAATGATTGATTACTCAGTAGAGATGTTATGTACAATTGTGCATGGATGAACAAATGTTTGAAAAACTCTACAGAGAGAGAGGGCTGCAGAATGCAGATGCACCCCAAGTGTTGTGTTTGTGTGGTGGTATTCATACTCTCAGCCATCGACTCCTTTTATTTGAGGGGTTTTGAGAAGCTTCCAAAAGTGAAATGTGACCCACAAGAAAACGGAAGTGATGTTTTTCACGGCTCGTTTGTGGCGGATAGTTCACCACGCGCCACCAGACGTGTTGGAAACTGTTACTCAAATCAATTTAGAACTTTTTAAAGCTGCCTACCTTTATATAGCAAAGAGTATATAAAAGGAAATATGATTTGTTTTAAAAGATTGCGAAAATAAACTTAGTTACACTATTATTATGTGGAATCATCTCCAACCCAACATTAATATTATTTTTTACATCAACCCAAACATTAATATTATTTTTTACATCAAAATGATATGGAGTAATGTCATTTTATTTTGATGTATAAATTTAATGTTATATTATTTCTTAATAGCAAAATGGTATAAAAAATTTTGCGTCAATTTTAGTTCCTCGTTTTCATTTTATTTTACTCTAGGTTAGTTTATATGACTAGGTATGTCTTAATATATTAGTTATTCATTATTATATTATTAACTGGACATTAATTAATCATAAAACATATAAAAATATGTTTAATTTGATTAATAATATACGATTAATTTATTTGATCATAATTTTGTAATATTATATTTTATAAAGCCTTTATACAAAAAAAAAAGATATAAACAAAATAGGTAACACGCTAATTAATAAGCTCAATGATGTTTTTGACAATCAATATAAGTTTAAAAAGAAAATATACTAAAGAATATTTTTTTTTTGATATTACACCATTTTGGTGTAAACAATGGTATGTGGATGGAGATGGTCCTACATTCGTGTCCTTATGAATGGTACGAGTAAAACACTTCCAACCTATTATTTAACACATTGATATTTTTTTTTTCATCTCTATCATGAAAATAACATCATTTCCAACTCATTCAACCTACTTGTCACATCATTATTTTTAATAATTAAAAACATACAAATTAATGCATAAAATATAAAACTAATTCATAACTAAACAAAATATTAATTATATTTGATAGATTTTTACCCTTTTAAATTAAAAAAAGCATGTTATATATATATATATATATATATATATATATATATATTGGGTGATGTTCAATAGAGAACCATAATTAACAAAAGAACCAATGAGCCAATCTTTTTTTCAACTTTTAAAACTTATTTTTTATCACAAAAAAAAACTAAAAATACAGAAATTTATAACTTTTTATCCTTTTTCCAATTATATCAAATTCGATAATTTTTTTTTTCGTCAAATTCACAATGTGATTGTGAATCTAAATTCACACGGTAAGACATGTGGAAGATATGGTGGATAACCTATTGACCCATGTTCAAATCCTGACACCACTCAGCCTTTGTGGCCATGGAGGTTCGCCTACAGTGACTCCAAGGCATGAAGCAAAGCCTCATGTTTGCAGCGGGGGATTAGTCGGTGCGCGAAAGCTGGCCCGGAAACCCTCGTTAGGGAAGTTCCCTTTCCAAATTTTTTTTTAGATATTTTTAGTTTTTTTTTTCGATAAAGAATAACCTCTAGAACTTAAAAAAAAATTTGGTTTCTTGGAGAACCAATAATTATGGTTCTTTATTGAACTTTTCCCTATATATATATATATATATATATATATATATATATATATATATATATATATATATATATATATATATATATATATATATATATATGATAAAAATTCACAAATGGTCCTTAAGCTTTTGAGTTTATCTCTAAAATAGTCCTTATGAAATCTTTTTTGCATGAATGGTCCCTACAAAGTGAACCTTGCATACCAGTGGCCCTTTTAGTTTTAAATGTGTCCCTTCGAAGCGAACCTTGCACACCAGTGGCCCTTTTGTTTTTTGTTATTTAAAAGAGAAATGGGCGCACCACTTAGCCTCACCCACCGCCTCATTCTTCCTTTCTCTTTCATTCATTCCTCCTTCTTCATTTCTCCTTCATTCTATCAAAAGAGAATGAGGGGTTGGTAAGCCCTAATATTTTACATTTTGATTCTTTATGGGTGTGATTCTTTATGCTTGCAATTTAAGAAAGGGGAGTTGAAGAACTTCATATAGAGATGCTTGAAAAATCAAATGGTTTAGTGAAAAATCGATAATAGTGGTGTTATAATAGTGTTAGGTTAAGAGGAGATGGTTTGGTGGTGTTGTAGATGATCGATGGATGGGTCTGTTTTTGTAGTGGCTGGATGATGTTTGACGGGTCTATACAGAGGTGAAAATGGCAATGATGGTGGACCATGTGTTGTAGATGATCTCCAATGCCATCACTATCGTCTAAAAATGTGTTGGGATTATGTAACACAATTTCATCTTATTCCGATTTTGGTTATGGTTTCATCTTCTACTATTTTAGATCCAGGTTTGTTGTGTTTCACATTGGTGTTCATGGTTCATATTCCAAATTTTTCCTAAGTACAAGCTCATTAAATTGATTGAACCTTGTTGTTTCCTAAATGTATTGTCGATTCCCTGTGTTGAAATGGTTTTGGATTATTTGAAGTTGAAGATTATTTTGAATTTTTTTTGGGTTCATTGATGATGTTGTCGTTCGTCGATGCCCTGGTTGATGTGGAATTAGTATTTTTTATTGGTTAAAGGTTGTTTGTCGAAAACATATGTTGTTGATGGATGTATATCCAATTTATTTGGATAATCTAATTTGTAAATGATTTGGTTACGATTGTCGTGGTTGATGATTCAACTCAAATTTCATGTCTGTAAACCTAGGTTCTAAAAGGCGTGAGGCGTGGCGTGGCGGCAAGGCCAAGCCTCAAGCTTAACGAGCCATGACGTTTTTAAGGCGTATGTAAGGCGGCGAATTTGTATTAATTTATAATTATATTACCGCATAAATATAGATTTATATAAAATATAACTAGTTTTTAGAAGTGTTATATCAACAACTAATAACAAAAAATTAACAAAAAACACAATACTTGTATGTCCGATTAGAAAAGGCATAAAAAGAGCAAAAAAATGTGTCTCAAACAAAAAAATACGAACCATAACACGCCATGGCACGCCATATCATGCCTTGCCACGCGCCACGCCTTACAACAACGTTATGAGGTTTTTCGTAACGACGAAGTCGTGACGCGCGCCATGGCGCGCCATTTAGAACACTGCTGTAAACCCACCTGAACCTTAATCCAGATGCAGTAGGGTAGGTGGGCTAATGGAATTGATTATCATCAAAGAGTATATAATCATCGAGGTTTACAAAGATCCTACTGATATTGGATTAATCAACATGGGTGTGTGTTTAAAGTGTGTGTTTTTAATTTTTAGTATGTGTTTATGGATGGAATTTGAGTCATAATTGAACGTCGGTGGGGAAAAATATGATGTGCTGGCTAGTGTGATTTTTGGCTCTTGTATTCTTAGGAGAGAGAGAAAAAAAAGATACACACACACACACACACACACACACAGAGAGAAGGGAAATATAGTATTTTTCATTTTGTATTTAACAAAAAAGTTAACGATGTTAGGCTTAAAGACCATTTTTTCACAAGGTTTGCTCCGTAGGGACCATCCATGCAAAAAAGGTTTCATAAGGACTACTTTAGGGACAATGTGAAAAACTTAAGAACCATTCGTAAAACTGTGTGTGTGTGTGTATATATATATATATATATATATATATATATATATATATATATATATATAGAGAGAGAGAGAGAGAGAGAGAGCTTCGATTTATGAACTAATGAGTAGTTTAAGCTATAAAAAATCAGTTTTTATACCTTATCCTAGATAAATGTTGGATTTGGCATGGATTCCAAACCATAGATTGGTCTATAAGGTGAGATGAGGATGATTTATACCGCGTAAAGCTTCAATGATGCAATCTTAACTTCCATTCTTCCAAATGCACCTTATTCCACCTCTAACCCCTTGATCTCATGTAATCATCGTTGAAAACTCTTTCTCCCCTTCGCTCAATCGATTTCTTTTACTTGTGAGAGAGTGAGTGATTTACTTACATATTTTGAGGTTTTGACAACTTAAACCTATCTAAAACTTATTTACTTAAAATGACCACTAACTTGACTAATCATTTAAATTTAATCACCAAGATTATCACTAAAGTCCGTTCACATGATTATTCATATAAAACGGTCATTTAGCTAGGTCAAAACTAGTTACTGTTAGGTATCACATGTTGTAATAGTTGTGTTGAGTTTGTATGTGAAAGGTTTCGTAATTTTGTATCATGTGTCTTCAAATTGTAAATACGAAATGGATGTTTGGTTTCGTATATTTTGGTTTTGTAGTTATTAATCTAGGCTTCGCAACTTTAGTTAATTTGTTTTACAGGCTGTCTTAGCTTAGTTGTCTTAGCTTAGGTGTCGTGACCTCATTCATCATATCCTAACCGACTCCCTTTTTATGTCCTATATAATGGATGTTAGTTATATAGAGAGGGTATCTTTTGGATAGGTTCTTAGATCATTTGTAATCGAACTTCTTTTACTCTCTAATCAAATCTAGATCTTATTTACATTGTTGTGTTTATTCAATATTTTTTTACGATCATGATTTCAATCTTATAGAATCTATTCAACCCTATAAGTTGTATCAGAGCAAAGATTTGTTTGAGCACTTTTCAAATCCCTGAATACGTTCATGTTCTTCGATTTTTCTATTTTCTACTTTGAATTTCTAAGAACTGTTTTGTATTTTGCAATCTAATTGCAACTTGATCTAAATTCTTTGTTTGAATCACTCGTTTTGATTTGAAATATGTATTTGCTCATTGATTTGATTCTTACTCAAATTTTCATCTGAAATCATGTCAAAATAGGATGTTCATACTGTTTCTTTCAACTTATTGAGTAGTATTGGATCATCTACTCGTATTCCAATCCTGTTTCCCGAAGACGATGAAGTTTGGGTCTCATACTTTGAAGATTATATCTTAGGAATTGAAGGTTGTTGATCATACATTTGGAAGTCAAT